GGGGACCTTACTGTGGGTGACGGACTGCAGCTGCACCGTCTTTGGGATGTGCTCCTCGTAGCCGGGGCCTGTGGGTTTCCGGCTCACCTTCGACTTGAAGAGAGTGTTCACCATTGTCGACTTTCCCAGGCCGCTCTGCCCTGCACGGGGATAGAGAGAGAGGCCGTGTGAGCTGCGCTCCCACCGCGCCCAGAGGCCAGAGGATGGGCACATGGGATCCAGGACACACTCCCCTGGCTCGCCAAACTGGCCACTCCGTCTCCCCCATCCCATCTCTCCGCTGAGCTCCTGGAGCATTGCTGAGCGGCAGAGGAGGCAACGGACAGCTGGCAGGAGGAGATGGAGGGGCCTCTCGTCCCCAGACATGGGGCTGCAGGGTCGGCAGGGCACAAGCTTGGTTCACTCACTAATGGGGGGACGCCACGACCAGCCTGCCCCATCCCCTCCCCCAGGTCCCGGTTTGGAAAGCACCAGCCACTACTCGCTTCCCCTTCTCTCCTCCCCTGGCTTGGCTTTCTGCTGCAGCCCTTCAGCGATTAGCTCAGCAGCACCCCATGCACCCAAGATGTCCTTGTGTCTAAGCTAGCCTAGCCCCCACCTCCGTCGACAGCCCCACATGCCCCCAGGCATCCAAAAATCCGGAGACCCCACATGTCCCAGCACTCCCACCTGGGGGGTTTTATTGCTGTATTCTTAGACTCCTCATGTGTTAGCAAATGCAGATGGCAGGTGCCCCCCACCCCACTTCCACCATCACTGCGGTCTAGGATCTCTTCCCTGCTGGAGACCCTCATGGGGCGACCGGCGACCCCAGCTGGCCCCGTATGTCACCGCAGGCGGGAAATCTAACCCAGGGAGGTGGCTAGCAGACAGTCCCTGCTGCACTGGGAGGCTGGGCTGGCGCAGCCCCAGTGCCCAGATCCTGCCGCTCTCGGGGTCACGGGTGGCTTAAAGAACATTCTTCCCCGGAGCGTCAGTAACACAGAGCAGGAGGGAGCAGGCTGGGGGATTCTGCGCTGGAGGGAGGGGCTGGCAGCTGGACCCCTGGGAAGGAGAAGTGAAAGTGACCAGCATACAGAAGGGGAGTCATTGCAAGAGTCCGTCTAGCCCCGAACACGGTATACACCTCTCACTCTTCTGCTTCTGTGGTTGGGGTCCTGAGAACAGCAGGAGCTGGTGTTCCCAGTGCCCTAGCTGGCCACCCACCCACCTGCCCGCTTGACTCTTGGGCCCACTGTATGTTCCTCCCAGGGCTTAGGACAGCCCAGCAGGTGTCCAGTCCCCATCCTACACCCCACCATTGCCTCCCTGTGCAGGACCTTTCAAGCAGCCCTGTGCCCCCCTCTTTCCCTGGCTACAGCTTTCCCCCGAGGCTCCAGGTCTCGTCTTTGTGACCCTTCCAGAGTGGGGGCCCAGGAGCGGGCTGGAGTCAGTCACGTGTCCAGGGAGGGAGGCGGGCACTCCAGTGCTGGGGCAGCTGTTGGATTGCAGCTGCAGGGGGAATTAGACTGAAGCCCACACGAGCGGTGGGGCTGCTTCTTCCAGGGCTGGTCGTTCACCATTAACAAACACTACCGGCACAGGTGATCAGCGGGCCAGCACTAGTGCTCACTGAGCCCCCGGCACCACCTGAACCCGCAAGCCAACCCGGCTTTCCCCAGCAATAGCCGGGCCCCTGTCCCAGCTGGCTTAGCCCTTACGCAGGGGTTGGGGAACCATGCGCTGCGATCACGGCTCACCCCCAAGACACAACTGCGGGCAGTGCCTCCTGGCAGGATTGCTTCCCCCACTAGCTGTGCGCAGATGGGAGGGGGATTCCATCACTGATGTGCTTTGCTAGGGGCACTTGACACACATGGGGTGTGTGTGAGGAGAGCAGGGATGAGCCTGCACACAGGTGGGGTTTGTACACAGAGGAGACAGGCATGCACGCAGGGTGGGATCAGTACGCATGGGGCATGTGTGCACATACAGGGCGGGGTTTGCACAGGATGGGGTTTGCACGCATGGGACAGCAGATGGTGTGCGCCCATGGTGGGGTTTGAATAGGGAGGAAGGGGTGGGGGTGTGTACAGGGTGGGGTCTGCAGATGGAGGTGGGGTGGATGTGCACACAGGGCGGGCATTTGCACACGGAGGAAGGGACAGAGGTGTGTACAGAGTGGGGTTTGCAGATGTAGGAGGGGATGGGTGTGCACAGAGGGCAGGCGTGTGCACATGGAAGAAGGGGCGGGGGTGTGTACAGGATGGCAGATGGAGGAGGGGTGGGTGTTAACGCAGGGTTGGTGTTTGCACATGGAGGAAGGGTTGGGGGTGTGTACAGGGTGTGGTTTGCAGATGGAGGAAGGGTTGGGGGTGTGTACAGGGTGTGGTTTGCAGATGGAGGAGGGCTGGGTGTGCACACAGGACGGGGGTTTGCACA